TACATGCAAGGCTTTTACAGCTCCAGCCTCCCAATATTTTCCCACTAATCCAGACGAGGGAAATCATTCCTCTTGCTCGACATCTATATGCTCCACTGCTTTACAAGCTCATCAACAACCTCCATTTCGACATCACCGAGACACAGGCTCTGATATCGATGATCCTCGATATCCATCTTGGTCCATGGACACTCGTTCTGTCCCTCTATCAACGCACGATTTCCGTCACCTGATAGAATCAAGCCATCAAACTCGACTTCACTATGACCCCGAGTTCGACACCAACGTTTAACAGTATCAAACAATGTCCATGGACACTCGGATGACATCTCTCAATACCGAAAATCCTCAACACTGACAAATGCCCATAGACATGCTGCCTCCATCAACATTGAGCCAGAAATGTCAATACTATGACACTCAACCTATTGACACCAAAGTTGATCGACAATCCGTCGACTCTCATAGCATTATCCCGATTATTCTGATCACGAATCCAGACCTCAGACACCGTCAGTATTACTTACCTCACTGGAATCTGACCTTGTCGATACTGACCCACCATCACTGGCGGAAGACTTCCAAACTTATGCCCAACTTATGATCTGTATAGCTAAGTCTCTCAATCTCCAAATTCACCGTCCTTCGACAGAATCGTCTGATCATCTATACAACCCAATCTCTAAAGATACAACTACTCCAGTACACATCTCGATGCTTCCGTCTCTACTCAGCACCGCTCAACAATCCTGGACAAAACCAAGTCTAAAAGAATCAATAATCTCTACAGAGTCCATGATCCTGGAGCTCTGTTTCTTCAAAACCAACCAGTTCCAAACTCTTTTTGTCAAAGCCTCACAATCCATCAGTCAAAGAAGCCTTCCACTAGAAAGGCTGACCTGTATAAATGGAACAGATTCAAATCTTTCACAGAAGCTTCTTCATTGCCTTCTATCAACCCATCACTTGCTACTGTTCTACGTTTTTGCTTCATCTCAAGTCTAATGGCCTTTCCCTCTCTTCTTTGAGTTTACCTCTCCGCCATAGTTTATCAGCCCCCTAACTCTCCAAAAGCTGATTTCTTCAAGCATCCAACACTGAAATGTTTTCTTAAAGGTCTATCTCATATGTACCCAGATACCCGCCTGCCTTCCCCACAATGGTCACTAACACTAGTACTGCAACAACTTACTAAAGCTCCTTTCGAACCTTTAGCTTCATCCGATTTACGGCTTACTTACCTTTAAAACAGTTTTCCTTGTGACCATCACCTAAGCTTGATGAGCTAGGGATTTAGTGGCCTTACATCATGACTATCCTTGTTTACAGTTCTTTTCTGGACAAAGTCAAACTATCCATGGATATTTCTCTTCTCCCCAGTCGTATCTCACTTCCATCTCTCTCAGCCCGTCACTGTCCACAACTCAAGTCGTATCTCAATTCCATGTCTCTCAGCCCGTCACTGTCCACAACTCAAGAAAGAATCTTCCATACTTTAGACATTAGGTGAGCCTTTGCCTTTTACGTCCAACACACCCAACCTTTCAGGCGTTCACCTCGACTTTTCATAAGTCACCAACCACTGACTAAAGGTCACTAGATGACATCTCAAACTATATCTAGATGGGTTCCTTCAACCATTCACCTGACTAAAGGTCACCAGATCTAGATGGGTTCCTTCAACCATTCACCTTGTATATCAGCTGGCACGCAAACCAGTCCCGAAGGTGATTTGCCCTCACTCCACCAGAGCAGTGGCAACCTCTATGGCATTCCTATGCGGCGTACCTCTTCTGTGATTCACAGAGGCCATAAAAATGTGACTTTACCCACCTGTAATTGTAGTTCTTCGAGTGGACCTTTGTGATTCACACATCCCGCCCGTCCTCCCCACTATCACGCCATTCTGCTTAATTTAGTGGCGGTTGTCACAACTGAAAGGGGAGCCTTGGTGCCAAGGTATTTATATGAGGCAGGGAGGGTCCTTTTTCTAATGTGTTTTTTGCTACCACAGAAGCTCTAGAACTTTCCAATGAGGCTCCGCGCAGGCGTGGATCACCCAGGATGTGAATCACAGAGGTCCCCTCGAAGAACTACCATTACAGGTGGGTAACCTGTTGATTTGGAAGACAGAATTGTCAAAATGAGGAAGAGGCTTGACTACTATACTGTAATTGCCAGCTTAGTTAATCCTTTTTCCCCCTCTGACAATTGTATAGTTAATTTTATGATTAAGTTCTAATTATTTAAAATTTCTTGTATCATTAAAACACATGAATACACTTAGCTGATTTTAAACAGGTAGGCCATTTAAGTATTGCCTTCATATACCATAGAATATTGTAATATTTTCACTATATCAGTTAAGATGAATGTCTTGGGATGCAATAAGAATAAATATTTATCTTCAAGATTTATCAGAAAATGTAGTTCTTTAAAATATTTTGGAATATGCTAAGGCATAGTAAAACCATTAAGCTGTGTCTTAGCAGTATTCTATTTAATAAGACAATTAAATACACATTTTCAGTGATGAATAACTAAATAGAAAAATCAGGTATTCCTTTGTGTATCATCTCCTTTTTGAAGGTGCATGGTCTTCATCTTTTATTACTAGGACAGGTTTGTGCTGAAGTTGTATGGCGTTCTTACTGTGTGAAGCACTATACTTCACAACATATTTTAAAAGTATGTATGCATACTGACATTTTACCCTTTTGGTTGCTCCATATAAACTTTCTGCGCCTGAATGGGTGCAAACCCATAACTAAAGCAGTGGTTAAAGGGATTTTTGTATTTTTTTTAAAGTAGATGTAAACATTTCTTAAACAAAAACTTACTGAGTGCACAATAGGGGATATGAGGTGTACAGATTGTCCAAAACAGACACTAAAATATTCTATATATGCCAATTCTACCCATCTGAACCATTTTTCCAGGGTAGACAGCTGCTGTTCACTAGGTAAAGTAAAAAGTCCAAACAAAGTGTATTTCCAGAAGTAGATTTTTAGGACCTGAACAAATGTGTGTTAGTAACAAAACTGCTGTATTTAGACTGTATGTTCTGTAACTTGCTTCACAAACAATTGTGAGCTGCAACCTACTTTGAGAAGAACTATTGAAGCTCCCTCCTTCACAGACTGCTGCCTTGTCGAATTGAAGCTCAGCCAACAGATTTGCCAAAGTCAATAAAAATTAAAATGCAATTGGTGGCTTAGTGTCAAGTTCAGGTGGGCTGTACTTGATGTGGGGGTGCGGGCAGTGTTTGTCTGGAATACATTTGCTCCGAGGCTGTTTTCTAGAAACCCTCTCCATCCACAGCTGTAGTCTGGAGAGCTCAGCTTTTTTGGTATTGCATCAGACCCTGGAGAAGATGATGTTTTTGAACTACAACTTCTATTCTGGGAGTTGTAGTTCAAAAAAGTAACTGTTTGCATTTCTGTATACAGTGGAGTCTCGACCTACAAATGGCCCCACTTCCGTCCTTTTCGACCTACGTACAGCTCCAGCCGCAAAATTTTGGATTGACTAGCGGCCGGAGCTTCGACGTATGCACGAAAAGGGCAGGGAAAAGGGGCGGGAAATTCAAACTGTTGGTGATGAAGAGGCTGCTTCTTTAGCTCTTTTGCCCCAACAGTTGGGAAAACGGAGGGAGCCGGGCAGTGGGGGAGAAAGGCAGGAGCGGATCTGGCCTTCCTCCCCCACCAGGCAGCT